TGAAAAAGAGACATGACATATTTTTTTGACAATGATTGAATGTTATTTGACAATGATTTTTCTTCTGATTTTTTTGGTGATTTTTCCCGTGATTCTACATGTGTAATCAACATTGAAATTCTAAGCATGTGTTTGGCTCAAGGATCTGTGCAATGGTTCGGATCATAGTTTGTGGCTCGCCATAATATTTTTTCTCACAAAAAACACACGTAAATCAAGAATTATTCTAAATCATGATTCTAAATCCATGAACCAAACATTCTTTAAGTCTAACTACATATTTCTTTTGGGAAAAATATTTTTTTAGATGTATTTTCATTAAAAGAAGGTTTTTGTTTTGGCGCATTTGTCTCTGAAATTTGACTAAATTGGAAATATGCCTATAAACTCTTAAGAGGACGTTTGGTTGGAGATTCAAACTATGTGATTCGAATTATTTTTTATTTACGTGAATTTTTTGTGAGAGAAAATACTGTAGCGAACCACGAATCATGATTCAAATCAGAGAACGAATCCCTCTACCAAACATCCTCTAAGTGTTGCAAATTACTTTTGAATTTAATAGCATCTTATAAAGTGCCTCAAAATTGGGGATGAGAACGGGACGGGGGCAGGTATGCTCCCCCACCCCTATACCCTACTTTTATTTTGTCTCCTATATCCGCCTCTATATTCGTCTAATTTTAGAAAAGATTGGAGTCGGAGAATCACTACTGAGATAACTATCTATATATTCTACCCATTTGCCCATTAAAAAAGAAAAATTAAATAATTTTTGTAACATACTCATAAAAATAAATCAAAAACAAATTTTAAACTCTGACAATCCATAAATTAAATTTGTAAAACAAACCAAAACATTAAAATAGACTAAGAACATTATTATTATTATTATTAATTATTAATTATGCATAAATTTTAAGATTTTTTAAAGTATAATACATATATATAATATACAAAATAAAAGTACATGTAATCGGGACATGGGTGGGGATGGGGGAGCTTCCCCCACCCCCAACCCATCCCCGACTCGGGGTTAATTTTAACCTCTATACCTGCTCCCACCTCCATATAGTATTCCTCATATGCGCCCTATTAGGGGCATGTACCTGCGGATATCCGTACTTGTAGGTAAGATTCTCATCCCTTCTCAAAATTGGTAAATGATGTTAAAATTTAGAAAGAAACACCCTTAAAATCTTGATATGGCGTTCTCAGATTATCATTCAAAATTTTAATTCCTTCTTTTAAACAAGCTCACATAACATATGTGAAGGCATTTCTCTCAAAATTTTAATGGTAATCATGAGCTCTAAAACACTTTATTATAAGATTTAGAAGGTAACTTATCCAAATAAAAAATAATTCAAAGAATAACTTATCAATCATGAAAAGTCCAATGGGCATACCCATGTCAATAACCTTAAAAGAAAGAAAGCCAACAAAGTCGTAAGAAGAGGCCTATAGGCCACAACCCACACGAAACTCTAAAACAAAAATTGTAGTAAATAAACCAAATTTTGAAACCCTTTGAAGTAAATAACCTATTCACTAGTCATTAGAAATTAATAACTTATTTTTTATTTTTTATTTTCCAATTTTACCCTTTCTCATAGTTTTTATCTTGCCTCCTTTATCTTTCTCCATCCACCGCCCACTCTCTCTCTCTTCCTACCCCCATTTCTCACTCCTTTCTCCGTCGATCTCCTCCCTCTCTCTAATTGGAATGATCGCCGGCCGTTCACCTTCACGAACGCCAGCGATGCAGATCGATCTCTTCCCTCCTTCTATGTGTTTTTCATCGCCAGTTTACTGTTGAAGAAAGACTGTCGTCCTTCCCATCACTGTGGAGCCCCTTTTATTTATACCTCTCAACACTAGCCTATATATTTTTACCTTTTAGACTAGAACTAGTCAATGCGTAGAGTTTTTCAAAAGAGGTACTTTTAGTAAGTCAGATACTTAAAGCGATAAAATCTGTAATTTTCTTCTAAAAATAATGTATTTACTAATTTTGGGGATTAGGAATATTTAAAATTTAGATTTTCAATTTTATTTTCTTTTCACTTTAGGTAAAATACATGCTGTATTTACTAAATTAAAAGGCTTATAATATTTTATTAAGTAAAATTAAGAATATTAGATAAATAAAATTTGGCAAATGTTTAATTAAAAAATCTCTCTCTCTCTCCCTCTTTTTTTTTTTTTTTTTTTTTTTACTGCTGCATGTTGCAATGCTAGGACAGTCCCAACGGTGGGATCGTAGATAAGGTCAAAGAGGGCAAATTGTTTTTTACTGGTAACTAACGGATTCACGTAGTAAATAAAGATTTACCAAATACTGTATTTACTAGATATACATTATTAGGTGAGTAATATATTACTAAGTGTATAAGTTAATAATTAATAGGTAAATAATGTATTTACGAGGTAAATGGGTAAATACATAAGGTATTTACAATGTGAATATAGAGCATATATTTTTAGTAAGTAGATATTAAGTAAGTAATTTATTACTAACTAAATTAATCGATAAAGTTAATAAATGTATTCACTAATAAAGAATTGAAAAAATGTAGGTAAGTATGAGATAAATTTTCATGAATATCGTATTAACTAAACTAAAAAACCTTGCACCAAAAAATTAAAAAAACCCCAAAAATGAACTTCAAACCGTTTTGAGGGGACTAGTCAATTTGAAGTTCATTTTTGGGGAATAGCAACAACTCTCCACTATTCCCACCATCTCAAACCGGTCAGAAGGAGGTGGGCCGTTCGGAGAACGATATGTTAGGCCCTAGGATGAAAATATTAATATTTAATATCAATACTTAAATTTTATAGAAATATCGATATGGGTGGAAATTGATTTAAAAAAACGGAAATACGTACTAAAATACTATAGTTTCAAATGACATTTTAAAAACTTTAAAATAGATAATAATACATTAATTAGATTAACTCTCAATTAAAATGTTAATTATTTGATAAATATGTAAGGTAAAATGTGATCTTAATACTATAAATACTAAACACACGTTCATACATGAAAGTCAACACACGTTCATACATCAAATTAAGTAAAATAGTTGAAAGTCAACATAATATATATACCATACATATATGGTTTTATACATGATGATAAATTACCAAAAGGAGCTTCTAGGAGATTGAAAGGTATTTTGAACACATTCTTAGTTTAAACTTGTATTGATATCAAGACATGAAGTTTGAATAGTTCCTTATATAATTTTGGACATGCCATATTTTTTAGAATTTATTGAAAAGTAAAATAAAAAAAAAATATATATAAAGTTACAGGAATTTCTATGGAGATTTACCGATATTTCTGTGAAATTTTCTTAAAATTTTCACGATATTCGGTCATTTAACACTACATTTTATTCATAGATGAAAATTTCCATTGAAATATCAACATTTACGAAAATATCTGTAGAAATTTCAAGATATTATGCGGAAAAGATACTACACCCTTATTTCCATATCGGTACTTCCAAAATACAGAAATTTTCGCAGAAATATCGATAAAAATGTCAATATTTTCCTCTTTGGTTAGGCCTCCCAAATAGTGAAGAGAGACAGAGACTACAAAGAAAAATTTGCATAATTTACCTTTAAGAGTATATGAGTTAGGATTTGTACTCCTTATTTTTTATTAATACCTATTTATTAGTATAATTTATTTGACTAAAAAGATTATTAATGAAGAGTAAGGAATAAAAATCCTGACTTATGCATTTTAAAGGGTATTTGTCTCCTTTCCTCTAAAGGTAAATGACCGTTTCTTTAGTTTTTTTAATATAATAATAAATTGTCAAAGTTTTCTAAAATGAGAAAGATGATTTTTTTTATTAATTTAGTGATCAATTATTAATTAATTAATTCAATGATTTTTTATTATTAATAAATATTAATTAGTAATTGATCAAAATTAATTAGTAATTAATCAATAAATTACAGTTTTATTGATAAATTAGTAAATCGAATGGACTGCTGTAGAAAAACAAAAATTTTTCTAAAATAAAAAAAGCAACCATTTTTCTTAAAAAATAGAAAAAAAATCAGAAATACTACTCAAGATGGTAAAAAATATTATTTATGCCACTCAGTTTAAAAATAAACAATTGTCATTCAATTAATAAAGAGAAAATAAAAGGCCACATGATACCCTATTATTTATATAGAAGAGCAAATTACAAAATTTACCTTTTAAAACTGTAGTGTTCAAGATTTTTACTTCTTACTATTGATTATTACCCTTTTGACTAATATAGTTCTTTCACTAAAGAGTATTAATTAAGAGTAATGGCATAAATATTCAACACCCATGCATTTTAAAAGGTATTTATTTCATTTTTTTTTTAGAATGACATAAATAATAGGACTCCATTACGGTTAGGAAGTAATTATTTTTTAAAAGATTATTCTCACTGGTGCCCCGTAAATTTTAGAGTTATTCTCAGTTCGCCCCTTAAACTTTAAAAACTCTCATTTTGTCCATGAACTTTGAATTGTTTTCACTTAACCTATTTTATTGTAATTTCTGTTAAAATCAGAGGGAAAAATGATGAGGTTAAGTGTGATCATGTGGTTTTTATCTTTTTTTTTTATAGAAATCTAAACAGAAAGACCACATAACTGCATTATTCTTTTTTTTTATATGATTTTACTAGAAATTACAATAGAATGGATTAAATAGAAATAATTTAAAATTTAAGAGGGTAAAATGAAAATTTTTAAAATTTAGTGGGACGAACTGAGAATAACTTAAAGTTCAGGGATGAGTGATAATAATCCTTTTCTAAAAAAATGATGGCTAAAGAAGGCCAATGTTGCCATAGTGAGGCCACAAAGATAGCCCAAGAGCACTGTTTTGCTCCAGGCCCAAAAATATGCAGCATTTGAAAAAGAAAAATTCAAAAAATTTTCCCTCTCGCTCGCGTATTTATGAGCCCTAATTTTTCTTTGTTCACTGGGCCCAAAAAAAAAAAAAAAGACAGATTTCAAGTGATTTTTTGTTGCTCGTTCTCGACTACTCTTCCCGTTCGTTGGATTCCAGGTAAACTTTCAAATTTCTTCTCTCCTGTTCCTGTTTGATTTGCTTAAAAAGAAGCAATTAGAGCTGTTTTCCTGATTGTTGGCCAAACTCAATTTTGACGTATTTACATTTTCCATTGTTAAAAAGACAACAATTTTTTTCAGAAACAATTTAGTGTTAAACAAATGGATTCGAAATTTGTGTGAAAGTGAAGTTAATTAGGTTATAATTACGTGTGTTCTGTAGTTGCAGAAAATCGAGATTGTGGTTTGTAAGTCTTGGTTTATATGGGAAGGCGAAAGGTTAAGAAAACCGCAAAAAATGACCCAATCCAAGTAAAAGAACCTCAAATTGAGAAGGAAAAAGCTCAATTCACAGACCCAGATGGTATAATTTTGTTTTTATAATATTATTTTTTTAGAATTCTTCTTTGTGTATGTTCAATACGTTCTCTTGGATTGCCAATATGTTTTGTTTTGATTTATTGTTTTTTTTCTTTTTGAGAAAAATTTTCTGGATATTTGTTAGTACCTTGAAATTAAGGCTTTTTAAGAGTTTGGGGCTAAGATTATCGAGAATTGCATCTGGAGAAAGAGCCTAACTGGGAAAGTGAGCCATAATCCATCTTTTTTATTATTACTATTGTTACTATTATTTTGGTTTAAATGACGCAATGAAAAATGGTTTTAGTTGAGTATTTTTTTATTGTTTTATTATGGGTGTTGGTTAGTTTGTTTTTGCCTGCATCATCTTACTGTTTTCAAAAGTTTTTTTTTATTGAACTGTCCTCATTTTAACGTTCAGGGTAAACTTCGTTTTTGTAAAAAAGTTTGTTCAAATACTAGATGGATGTTAAGATGCAAATTTTCTAAATTTGAGTCGCAATTATATCTCACCTATTAACAGCTTTCATTCTCTTTCATTACATTGTGTAAACTGAAAAAATGTTCCGTTTTGAATTTATTCTTTTATTATCCTGTTCCAACTCATCAGTTGAGAGACAAAGTGCTGCCATTAGGGCTATTCGCGATGTAGAGATTGAGCGATTGTTGACAGAGTTGCGTTTGCTTCGCTCATATTTCAACAAGGAGCAGCTGCAGACCCCCGCACTACAATTTCTTGGGGAGAATTTTCCCAACTTATCAGTGGTTAGAAATGGAGAAAATGGACACGCTGACTTACAATGGAATACTAAAGAAGGCGAAGTAGATAAGGATGATAGAAGAGATGTCCATGCTTCCCTTCTGCACCGATTGTCCGTCGCTTATTCTGATTATTCTGCTCCAATCACATCTTTGGGTGGTTTTGATTTTTCTACTAAAGCAGGTATATGAAAATTCATGTTTTCTAATGCTTTAGAATTCAGATCAAATTTCTTACAGCACTTTGTATCGTACATTAATTAATTTGTTGATGGCAGTGAAAACAAGACTTCTAGTTGCTGATGATCTGCAGATCAAAGACTACGTAAGTTCTCTTGCAATTTAGAATTTTATACGACGATTCTGTGAGTGTTTTGATGTGTATAATCCTGTTTGCAAAAAATAAGTTACAGTTTTCTTTCAAAATTTCTTATTGTATTTCACATATCTTAACATACCTATGCAATGTAACTTTTACAGCATGTTTCAAACTTCAAAGCACTATTCAAGTAATACGGAAAAAAGATGCAGACTTTCTTTTAAAATATTCCTTACTGCAATTTCTATTTTGTAGATTTTGGATGAACCCTCGGAGACCCATATGCTAGGAATGCAAGATGCTTTACAAACACCTGGGGTTTGTAGCTTTTCTTTTGTTTTCGCCATTAGATATTTGTGTGGTGTTTTATCAATAGTTCTGATTAAGAGACCACCGTATATCATTTTTTAATGACTAGTGTTAACTACTAATGGTTTGCCTGAGGGCTGGTAGGATAGGAAACAAGTCCATTACGATACACAACTAGAGATTGTAGCGTTGTGAAAGCGATTAATGAAGGAAAGCTTACAGAAGCATATGGATGCTAAACTTCGCTTGTTTGTGGCATATAGGTGTCAGTTTCATGATTTATACTTGAACCAAAAGAGTGTCTCAATTGGGTTTGCTATCAGATGGTGAAGTAATTTTCGTAACTAATAGTAATAACTATTAATGCTGCAGATGAGTAGCCAAAGACTCTCTGTTGGAATGACACCCAAAACGCTAAGGCTCCCGAAGCCTGGGGAGATGCTTTTATCCGTCCGTGGCTCACCCCTTGGTGTTTACAAGGAAGACAACATGGAAGCTATAAATGGTATTTTTTCAAAGTCTCTTTTTATGATATGATCAATTCAACTCCATATAAGAAATCATCTTTGCCATTTAGCTGCAAAGTGGACATTCCTTTGACACTTTTGAAGTGACAAAATCAACTTTCTTTCTAGTCGTTCTGGCATTTTTCTGCATTCTAGACAAAAAGACAATAATGAATTAAAAAGGATTGAGCCCCCGTTTGGTTCGCTTGTTTGAATTTTGTTAGTTTGAACTTTTTGATTTGAACAGAAAAATGCAAACTGTGTGGTTTAAATTACAGTTTGAATTGACGTTTAGATGTGTAGTTAAAGTTTTAATTTGAATAGGGAATAAAATTCAAATTTGTGTTTGGTAGGTGTGAAAAGCAGAGAGGGTGGGCACTTTTTACTGTTCAAAAATGGTTTGAAATGTTAAACTCTAGGGGGAGCTAAACTCTAATGCCCCGTTTGTTTAACTGGTTTAGTTCAGTTCAAACAGTTTGAACTCCTGTTTGTTAAGCACGCAGTCGGAATTATATTCCATGTTTGAACTCAGTTAAACAGTCTAACAGTCCAACTTAGAGTTTAGCTCTCCTCCTCAAGTTCAACCATTTAAACCATTTTTTAACAGTAAAAAGGTGCCCACTCTCTCTGCTTTTTACACATGCCAAACACAAAATCAAATTTTATTCCCTATTAAAATTAAAATTTTAACCGGATTTCCAAATGCTAATTCGAACTACAGTTTAGACTACACAGTTTGAATTTTTCTATTCAAATAGAAAAATTCAAATCAACAAAACTTGAACCAAATGGGGGTTAAGTTGGGCCGTTTAACTCAGTTCTAACGGGAAAGATAATTCAAACTGCATGCTTACAAAACGCCAGTTCAGACTGTGCTCACTATTCAAACTGAACTAAACTAATGAAGCAAACGGGGACTGATACAATATGATATGGCGGAGTGGGTGTTTTTCCCTCAAATTGACCTGTTCACTTGTTTCTCATAGTTTTGTTCTGTTGGTTGGAATTCGAATCTTGTGCAGAATCCGACGAGGGTTAGCTGGAATTCGCTCAAGTAGTCAATCATGACTTGGAGAGTTCTCTTGAAAAATCAAGGCGTTTGAATGTGTGTACAATGTATAATATTCCTTGCCAAGTTTCAATGCACTGATACTATCATATCAAGGTCTATGCAAAAGACAGTGTAAAACATTTCATCTTTTATTTGCCAATGCAAATTTTCTTAGTTCTGTCGTTGCTTGCTTCATAGTTAAGGCAATTATATATAACTCTATATTTTAACTATTGCTGTTAGATGATCTCTGCGTCATGTTTGGGCTAGAACCTAATTTTTAAAAATGGGGTAATTGTATAGTACGAAAAGGAACTACGGATCTCCTCTACTTGTGACAGATTCCTTGGCAGCTGTGCTACTTCTATTTGTGGTCAATGAACTATATTTGCATAACCAGAATAAAGGAAATTCTGGATACACTATCTGATCCTAATGTCTAAAGTAAATTAAGTATCGGTCAATAAATGGATCAAAATGTCATGTTTTATGGTATCGTTCATTTCACCGATTTGAGTTTAGAATTTGAGTTTTTTTGTAATAAAAAACTCTTAGAAACAGTTACATTTAACTTTTTTTTTATATGACCCGTTTACTTTGTTGATTCGAGTTTTTAATTCGAGTTGAGATGTGATTTTATGTGAGAACTTTTTACTGTAGCAAAAAAATTAGATGTGATTGTTTCTGAGAGTTTTTTACTGTAGCAAAACTCGAATTCTAAACTCGAATCGGTGAAATGAACGGGGCAGTAAAAAGTTTTTACATAAAATTATATCTCAACTCAAATTAAAAACTTAAATCAGCGAGCTAAACGGGCTTTTAATTCTTTGCCATTAGTAAGAAGGTGTAGAAACAATTTCATCTCTAATTGCTATGGATTCATAGCCTATGAGAAGTAGAAGGCACTTGGAGAGCGGGATCCTTGTCGATTTTTTTTAAGCGATTCTCCTTTTCTTCTTAAAAAGGGGGAAGGAGAAGGGTCTTCTTGGGTGCATCTCTATTGTTTCTGTTTAGTCTCCTTCATTTTTGAATTTTTTTCTATATTTGTTTCTTTCTCACTTTCCCACTGTGCGGTTTCTTTCTATTCCTTGGCAACAATTGGCGATGGTTCAAAAATTATAAAATCGTGAACAGACAAAAATTCTACAGTTTCAGTTAAACAAGGATTAAAACTCTTGACAACTGAAATTGGGAAGAGATTTTGTTAAATAAATCTTAAAGCCACAAAGACGAATGATTCAATTAACAAGAATAATCCACGACCGGTTCAATTAAAAAGAATAATCCTAAGGAAGCCCCAGAAGAAGAAAATGGACATAATCCGAGGCATATATGACATTGATGATTAAATAGGTCAACAAAAATTACATGATCAAGAGGGCCATTACAAAGGCAGAAATCGTCAAGAGCAAGAGACATATGTACCACATTATTGGATGGCACTAACTACTCATTGGCATCTATGAAACCTCTCAAGATTTCCCTTTAAAGCGCAGAATTTCATCTGAGTCTGAGGTTAGTTAAAGAATGATCTGAAAAATGAACAAACCAAGTTATTATTCATCTCTAAGTTTTTACACTATTCTCTGGCCTGCTCGATGCAGCTGTGGCACTCATAGAAACAGGACTCGCATTTGAAGAGCAAAATGCTCCCAAGGCCTCAAGGAAGAACCTCTTATTAGGGACAATACCATCCTTTTCCATATGCCTCAATAGGTTCCCCAAAAGCTCCTTCATGTTGGCTTTAGTGTAGGCTTTGTAGAGAAGTTTGTATGTAGATGAATTTGGAACCACTCCTATATTCTTTGAATCCTCAAAGAGCTTATGGGCTTCCATTGGCAAGCCATTCATGCAATAAACATCAAGCATTGCATTTAATGTCGAAACCTTTATATCCTTCCCAGATTCAACCAACCTGTTAAATATATCCTGAGCCCTGGAAACACAGTCACAATATCCATACATCATTATAAGACTCTCGTATGTGATGAAGCTCGGTGTGTATCCCATGTCGGTCATCTTTTCAAACACATTTTCTGCTTTGTCCAATCGCCGTGCTTTCCCGTAATTTATGATCATTGAATTGAATGTAGGCAATGTTGGTCTCTCCTTGGATCGTAGTAAGCTCTTAAACACTTGTTCCATTTTATCAAACTCCTGCTTCTTCCCATAGGAATCAATCAACAAGTTAAAGGTGATGATATCGGGTTTGATATGATTGCTCTTCATCAAAGAAAGCACAGACTCCATTTCTCTAATCATCCCATTTTTCCCATACGCATCCATCACGCCATTGTAGGTGTAGATATCAGGAGAAACAATGCTCCCATCAAGATCTTTGAACAGAGAATTAACTCGCTGCACATTTCGGGCTTGAGCAAAAGCTCTTAAGAGAATGTTGTAGGTCACAATGTTGGGTTTACACCGCTCGATTCCCTTCATCTTCTCAAAGTAGCCAATAGCTTTGTCCAAAGCCTTCACTTTGTCACTGGAGTGAAGGTGGGCAGTTATTAGCGCATTGTAGACAGAAGTATCTGGTCGGCAGCTGCTATTTCGCATCTCGGAGAAGAGCCACATGGCCATTCTGGTTTGACCTTTCTTTCCCATTACTGAGATCAATTTCGAATAGACGCCATTATCGGCTATATACCAACGCTGTTTCTGCATCCATCTGAAGACCTGTATTGTGGTGATGAATAAGTAAAACAATAGTCTCTCCTTCATAAAATTCACTAAAACCATGTTCTTCCATAAACCAAACGAATAAAATTTGGAAGACAGAAGATAAACTATTCAAACACTTTACGGTATTCCAGGTATCCCCCAACAAAGTCAGGATTATAAGAAAACATTAAGGTCGTGTTTACTTAGCATGAAAGGGAAATGAAAAAGGAGTGATTACTTTCCCAATCTAATCATGTGCTTACTCACAAAATCAGTAATAAGGATTTCATAAGCCGCACACAATATAGAGAATGAGAAAAAAGGATGCCAATCGTTATACCCTTTAGTATTGATTTCCAGTTCAAGATAATGTCAACTTTACCTAGATACCTTCAAAATTTCACATGTTATACGTCAAATCTTTATTAAACTATATAAATAAAATTTAATAACTACATCGATAAAATTTCCATTCTCAAGTTTAGTAAGCACTACAAAGAGAATTGGATTGTTTCAATCCCCTTTTTTTTAAAAAAATATAAATATTTTTTTATCCCATTACATAACCCACTATATTCCTTTACCCCATAGGATTTAAAATCTGAATCCATGCTTTACACATTAAACAACGCTAAAAAACACAAATTTCTATTCAATAGATCTCTTTGGTTTTCAAAATTCATTAGCTAAACTCTTCACAATATATGAACAGACAAAGAAACTTTTTACCTCTTAAAAAACGCAAATTTCTATTTCCACAAAGAGGATAGGGGAGAGAGAGAGAGAGAGAGAGAGAGAGGAAAACCTCGAGGCATTGAAGCCATTTATCGCTCCTCCCAAGCTCTTCGAAGAGAAGAAAACAGTGCTCTGTTCTCACAGTCTTGACATACTTGTTAAGCGTCTTCACCAACGGCTCCTTATCGCTGTTGAAGCTTCTCATGAGCAGACGAACCAGGTCCAGAGCCTCCGAATCGTCTCTCTTCGCCGTTGTCGTCAATTTTCTCTTGCTCTTCGACTGAGTCGAAACGCAAGAAATTGTCCCCGCAGGTCTAGGTCTAGGTCTCTCTTGATGATGGAGATTGCTCGGAAGCCATGGCTGGTTGAAGCTGTAACTCTTGGTGAAGAGGAATTTAGAAGCTTCAACAGACATTTTAGTGTTACCAACTAAATGCTACTCTCTCAGACCAGAGGTGTGGGTTTTGTTCTTTTGGGAAGTCGTAGGATATCTGTAACAAATTGGATTTTTTTTTTCCCTCATTGTCATAAATTTTAAAAACTACCATTTTATTTCTTAAATTTTAATTACACCCACTTTTTTTTTGTAATACAAAAACTTTTGTAAAAAATAAATGAAAAAAAAGATCACATGGCCTAAATCTATCTATTTTATTTGTTTTAATGGAAATTTTAGTAGAGGAAATTAATTTAGGGAGGAATACGTATAGACTAAGGTCCGTTTAGTTCGTTGATTCGAGTTTTTAATTTGAATTGAGATGTGACTTTATGTGAGAGCTTTTTACTGTAACAAAAAAGTTAGATCTAACTATTTTTTAGAGCTTTTTACTGTAATAAAACTCGAATTGGTAAAATGAACGGATATAAGTTTAAATTTTTATTATTTATTCTTAATTAATATTTTTAACTAAATAAATGTTTTAATTAAGAGATTATTAATAAAGAATAAAAGCGATTCCGCCCAATCCATAGGGTGCGTTTGGAATTGATTCCAAAACGTTTTTATTTTCTGTACGAAAATGAAAATGAAAACGTTTTTAGTTTCATTTTTGAATTATTTCTAAAAATGCGTTTGGTAGTTTTATTTAGAGATTGATTTCAGTTTAAAAAAAAACTGAAACTGCGTTTGGTGGTTTAATTTTTGAAAATAAATAATAATATATTAAATAAATAATATTATTAAATATATTAAATAAATAATATTATTAAATATATTAAATAAATATATTAAATAAACATATATAATACAAAAACGGTTTCAGAAAAGAGGGAAGAAAATGAAAAAAAAAAAGTGAAATCCGTTTTTCAGAAAACAGAAAACGAAAACGAGAAAATGAAAACACATTTTTTTCGTTTTCTGATTTCCACAAAAAGACAAAAACGTTTTTGGTTTTGTTTTTGAAAAAAAAATTGCACCAAACACGTTTTTAACACCCGTTTTCATTTTTTTGCTTTGAAAACCGTGAAAAACAAAAATGAAAACGCAAACAAACAGGCCCATAAGGTTTTGGAATTTGGAGTTGTCCAATTCTCAAGCAGGCTGGGCAGACTGACCTATACCGTTTTCATTTTTTTGCTTTGAAAACCGTGAAAAACAAAAATGAAAACGCAAACAAACAGGCCCATAAGGTTTTGGAATTTGGAGTTGTCCAATTCTCAAGCAGGCTGGGCAGACTGACCTATATATATATATATATATATATTTTTTTTTTTTTCATGAAAATCGGCTTGTTCTAATTTCACCATTTGTGCAGCCAAGTGGGATGACAGTCTAAATTTACAACTCTAATAATATAAATTTTTTAAAAATAAGAAAATTATTGAATTTATTTTTAAAATAGATGGGTCTAAACTTTTATAATTTACTCTTAATTAATAACAGTTTGACTAATAATATTATTTGATTAAAAAAATTAATAAAGAGTAAATAGTAAAAATTAAGACTCATATAATATAAGAGGTATCTATCTCTTTTTTACCTTTAAAAATTTAGGAGGCAAAAAAAAAAAAAAGAACTCTAAAGTTAAGCAGTTGAGAGTAAATAATAAATATTATAGTATTCTAAAACAAAAATATAAATAAAAAAAATGTAAAAAATGAGCAATGCTATTGGATACCGGTGATATTTAACGCTATCCACTAATAAAATTTAGGTTTTAAGTAGGATTCACCTATTATTAATGGTGATACTGATGTACTCCTAATCATTTTCCACTGAAAAAAGAGTCGAAACTTTTTTTTAGCCAATTTTGAGAATTAACGAATTGGTGTTGTTTCTTTTCTAAAAAACCATAGCGTATTCTATATTTATTGATTAACTTAATTATTTAGTGCGTAAATGTAATGTTTACTAAGCTAATAAGTTTTTTTTTTTCCCCTCGAAACTTGGAGCAATGTTCGTTAATATGTTTAGTCTTTAAGTGAATAAATTATTTACTAATATATTGATTTAGTCAATTTGTAAATTTATTATTTACTGAGTAAACTTAATCGCTGTTGAGTATATCAACTAGTAAATTCCTTAGGTACGTTGAGGAAATCTAAATGATTGAGCGTTTAAATAAAATGGTGTATTGATTTTTTATTTAAGAAAAAAATGGTGTATTGATTAAACTAATTGATAAATTTATAAGTTATAAGTTAAATTCGTTATTTTTCATATATTTATACACTTTCTGAATAAATCAATTGCTAAACCCAACATTTGGTATACATCCCAGATTTATTTTGATTTATCGCCTCATCAAATTTTGTAAGTCCAAGATTTATCCCGGTTTTAGACAAAATTTTTAAGTAAACGAAAAATTTATCCGAATTCACCCCACGATTTAAATTGATAATAATCCAAAATTATTTGATTTGCTTAATATAAAATCACGGCTAGAGGCAATTAATATGTGCGCAAACACTATCAAGGTACGATTTATTATTTAGAACGAGATGGCACAATGGGATATAAGAACTATCAACAATATTTTCATAAAGAAAAAAAAAAAGCGCCAACAATAGTTATTACTTGTAAATATAAGATTTTATAATAACTATTTTTGCGACTAGCACTTTATAATAAGTTGTTTCATAATGTACTATGAGAATATAGTGGTTACAGCATATCTAATACAATGTCACATTTAAGTGAAGAAAATCACTTTTTAATTTTTTTGTGTTAAATTAAATAAATATTAGATTTGGTGAAAAGTTTGCCACAAAGTGAACAAATCTCAACTTTAACATTTGATTCTTGTTAATTTATATATTGATTTTTCTAATTATACTTTAAAATTTAATTTTTTCAAATTTCAAAATTTAATTATTATGACATTTGAGCATGATACATTGAAATAGAAAATAGAATAACACATTAAGGCCTCGTTCATTTCGCATATTCGAGTTTTCAATTTGAGTTGAGATGTGATATTTTTTAGAGCTTTTAACTAAAGTAGAAAAAGTTAGATGTGATATTCTCAAAAAGCTTTTAACGGTAGAAACCTAAAATTAAAAACTCAAATTGATAAAATAAATGAGATATAAATATACTATTTTCACACTTTTTTAATACGTAAATATAGAATTAATATTAATATTTACATCAAATATAATATTAATATGGATATATTAACTCGTTTTCACATAACATCACTTTTAGTATATGAACAATGCGCATTTTGTAAAATTGGTTCCGAAATATTTTTCTTGACTAAGTACATTTTGAATTTTGAATATTTGGCTGTTCTAATCCATTAGACTAAACTTGATAAATAAACTCTTAAATTTTAGAAGGTAATCACGTGTAAATACATAATAATTGCAATTTTATAACATTAAATTCTAAAAAAATTCTCAAAACAATTGTTAAAAAAACTCTTTTTTTTTTAACGAGTACACTATAAAATATATTATTTTAAATTGGTTTTTTGTTTTTTGTTTTTTTTTTCAGCCGCCGCTTATAATAGTAGCATCTATATAAAAGCGAGCGGTGGTCACCTCTGTCCTCGGGGTTCTTCTTGTACTTCTCTTGTGCTGTTCCTCTTCCGATTCCCTTTTCAACTAACCTCTTTTTCTCTCTCTTAATCTTCATATTCTTTGCTCTCCTCTCTCTCTCTCTCTCTCCCTCAACACATCTGGTAAACTGCTCACTCTGGATTCGACTCTTGCCAGTGTAATGATTAATTTATATTTATTTCTGCTATACTTGACTTTGAACTAATATTTGGAAAATAGAATTTCGGAATCCCTAATTGCTTTTAGATGATCTTCAGTTTGAGCTATGTTAGAATCAACAATGTTATGGACTGGATGAAACTTCTCTCTCTCTTTAATGTTCTGTGTAATCTGCTTGTTAATTGGGATTAACTGCACATTCTTTAGATTTTGATTGAAATATTATCTGGGGTGGCTTTATTTTTAGAAAAAAAAACACTAATGTAGTTACAACGTTACATGTGTTTGTTTACCTATTATAAACTTCATTCTTTTTTGTATTCTGGTTTTTCTCATTGGCTTGATAAAAGTTTTGAATGTTCAATGTCATAAAAAAAGCCCCTTTATGTTTACAAAAAAAGCCTCTCTTTTGTCTCCACTCCTCCAATTTTTTTTTGTTTTTGTTTCTTGTTTATGAACCTTGGACTTCTTCTTAGATTTGAATTTTTCTTGGGTAGTAAAATTTTCAGTGACTTAATTTTATTATGTTCTTCCTAGTACGAATAGAAGACCAACTAAAATAAAAAAGATTAAAATGTAATTAATCTAACAAAGATTCCTAATCCTAGTCTAACTTGCTGTCCTACATCAAAATCTCTGCCTCTACTGTGTGTATATGGAAGCAGGAGATCGGCTGATTATTGGTTGTTGTAGGTTGAGGATGGGAATGTCTTCCGGAGCCTGTCGCTTCTCTTATATAACCTTCCTTATATTAGTGCCTTTCTTATTTGAAACATCAAGTGAAGTAATTAGGTTTAATGTTAATATATTGTTCCCTTCCTTTCAGATCTGTATCTGCAATGGGGAAGAAGAAGGCAGAAGATGCTGGTGGAGTTGCGAAGGCTAAGACCGGCAGCTCTAAAGACGGGAAAAAGCCTGCTGTCTCTGCTTTACTGGCTGTCATGGAGCCGAAACCCGATAAGCCCAAGAAAGTTTCTTCCTCGACCACAAAGGTGAAAACAGCTCCGAAAGTTTCGTCTTATATCGACGGTGTTGACCTTCCTCCATCTGATGATGAAGAAGAGGACTATGTTTCAGGAGATGAACAACAAGAAGATGGTGCGCGCAAACGGTCCAATCAGCAGAAAAGGCCTGATTCCAAGACCCTTGATGTGTCAATTACAGACAAAGAGTTGAGAAAGCGTGAAAAGAAGGATCTTCTTGCCGCCCATGCTGTTGAGCAGGCGAAGAGGGAGGCTCTTAAAGATGACCGTGATGCGTTCACCGTGGTTATTGGAAGTCGGGCATCGGTTCTGGATGGGGAAGATGATCTTAATGCTAATGTCAAGGATATAACAATTGAGAATTTTTCTGTGTCAGCTCGGGGAAAGGAACTTTTGAAGAATACATCGGTGAAAATATCTCATGGTAAGAGGTATGGTTTGGTTGGACCAAATGGTAAAGGCAAATCCACTCTATTGAAGCTTCTTGCCTGGAGGAAGATTCCAGTGCCAAAAAACATTGATGTGCTCCTAGTTGAACAAGAGATTGTTGGTGATGATAAAACTGCGCTTGAAGCAGTCGTTTCAGCTAATGAAGAACTTGTCAAACTTCGGCAAGAGGTTGCAACATTGCAGAGCTCAGGTTCAACTGCAGAGAGTGATGAAAAAGATGACGACTATGATGACAATGATGCGGGAGAGAAGCTTGCTGAATTATATGAAAAATTGCAATTAATGGGGTCAGACGCTGCAGAATCTCAAGCCTCAAAGATTCTTGCTGGGTTGGGATTCACAAAGGATATGCAAGGCCGTCCAACTCGGTCATTTAGTGGTGGTTGGAGAATGAGGATTTCATTAGCTAGGGCACTCTTTGTGCAGCCAACTCTTTTGTTGCTTGACGAGCCCACTAACCATCTTGACCTAAGGGCTGTTTTGTGGTTGGAAGAATACTTGTGTAGATGGAAGAAAACCTTGGTTGTTGTTTCACATGATCGGGATTTCCTAAACACAGTTTGCACCGAGATTATTCATCTACATGATCTGAAACTCCACTTCTACCGTGGAAACTTCGATGATTTTGAAAGCGGGTACGAGCAACGTCGCAAAGAGGTCAATAAGAAGTTTGAGATTTACGACAAGCAGGTGAGGGCTGCTAAAAGGAGTGGGAATCGGGCTCAGCAGGAGAAGGTCAAGGACCGAGCAAAGTTTGTGCAAGCTAAGGGAGCATCGAAAAGCAAGGGTAAAGGCAAGAACAATGCTGATGAGGATGACAACACACCACCTGAGGTCCCGCAGAAGTGGCGGGATTACAGTGTGGCGTTTCACTTTCCCGAACCTACTGAGCTTACGCCTCCACTCTTGCAACTAATTGAAGTCAGCTTCAGTTATCTGAATCGGCCAGATTTCAGGCTGTCGAATGTCGATGTGGGCATTGATATGGGGACCCGAGTTGCTATTGTTGGACCTAACGGAGCTGGAAAATCTACATTGCTCAACCTTCTTGCGGGTGATTTGGTTCCCAGTGAAGGTGAAGTACGGAGGAGTCAAAAGTTGAGGATTGGTAGGTACTCCCAGCATTTCGTGGACCTCTTGACAATGGATGAAACGCCGGTTCAGTATCTTCTTCGTCTCCATCCAGACCAAGAGGGTCTTAGCAAGCAAGAGGCTGTCCGTGCAAACCTCGGAAAATTTGGACTCCCCAGCCACAACCATCTCACTCCAATTGCAAAGTTATCCGGGGGGCAGAAAGCTCGAGTTGTCTTCACCTCAATATCCATGTCAAGGCCCCACATATTGCTGTTGGATGAGCCTACAAATCACTTGGATATGCAAAGTATAGACGCGCTGGCTGATGCGCTTGATGAATTTACCGGCGGAGTCGTGCTAGTCAGTCACGATTCGAGGCTGATATCGCGCGTATGCGAGGACGAGGAAAAGAGCGAAATTTGGGTCGTCGAGGATGGTACTGTACGGTCTTTCCCGGGGACTTTTGAGGAGTACAAGGAGGAGCTACAAAGAGAGATTAAAGCTGAAGTTGATGAGTAATTATGTCTCCATGATGATGTTTATACCCTTCACAACCAAAATTTTTCAGGCTTTTGCTCTGTTTTTTTTTTTTTCCTTATTATTTTTGAGTGGTATGATTAATATTATAACCTTATTCGCTGAACTTATGAACTTGGGTTTTCTGTAGGAGTTATTTTTTTATTTTTATTTTTTTTACATACATACATACATACATATTAAATATTTATTTATTTGATTCTATGGCTATTGCAAATTTTATTATCGGATTGTTCAAATAGATTGTGGCCCTCAAATGAATAGAGTCCTAGTTATCGTTCTCCAACATATATTTTATTTTATAGAAAAAGACAATAAAATTGGGAACCGTTTTCTGGTTCAATGCCCATTTGCTCTACTTTTAATGGGGAAGAAAATAAGTACTTGAAAATTATTGGTATGGTTGTTTTGGAATGAATAATTGATTTTCTTCAAGAAGATGAAAGATATTATTTTTATTGGATGTCCCATGTGGGTACATACCACATATGACAATGAGATCTTATTTTTTTTATTTTTTTTGTTGGAAGTTCAGAATTCGAAGTTCTAAAGATGTAATTGAATTTTTTGTAAAATTACTATTAGACTATTCATGCAACCACTTAAGATTTATCTCGTATTTTTTTTTTTTATTATAGCAAGTAAACAAATAGAAATAGAATAGTATGGTTTATTTTACATATTTATCTTCAAACCTCGAATTCTTCACCCCTGAATTTTGGAGTTTGGATTTTGTATCAAATATGCTCGGTTCACCCTCGAACAAGCATTACATGGTTTTAGATTTGGCACTGTTGAAGAAGGCCGAGATTTGATGATCTGTATGGATTTTGTATTATACTTATCTTTGTCATACTAATGTGTACATGCATTATAATTTCAAAGAATCACAACTCGAAACTCAAACAAAAACAAAAACATGAATAAACATTGCACAAGTAGTACTCACTAAATCACACAAGATAATGTTATAGAACATAGTTTTATGACATCACGTATTCTAAACGTAAGGATTCTCTAGTAAAGTAAAGGATGTATTTTGGCATTTATGGATTTTTTTTTATAATACGGTTTGGAACTTATGACTCTCACTTTATTCAAAAAACTAAAATCACGAGAGTACTGGGCATGTTCTTTTGTCTAAAAAACTTAAAAAAAGACAACTCAAGTTTCAACTTTATTCAAGTTCACGTTCTTTTAAGTTTCAACTTTATTTAATTTTACTCAACTTTATTCAAGTTCTAACTTCAACTCAAGTTATAACTCAAATTCAACTAAAAAATTACACTCAAGTTATATTTCAAAAGAACAACCCTAAATCTTAGTGGACACACGTACACACTTACACACATTTAGGGGACTCAAGAGATAAGAAAACTATAAAAAAATTGAGGACTTGGATATCTCAGCCCCTTTAAAACCGTAGCTTTTAGCTGTATTAAATTGTAATTCTAAATATTGAAATTGCCATATCCATAGTCCATCCCTATCAACGTTTTGATATTTGTTGAACAAAACAAAGAGCCGAAGAAACCCATTTTGCCTTCTACAAAATGATCAAAAGCTTCAAAGACAAAAAGAAAAAAAGGCCTCCCTTTGATGCAAGAAAAAAAGGCCTTCTCAAACATTTTTGTCAAAAGTTTTTTTTTTTTTTTTTTTTTTTTTTTTTTTTTTTTTTTGCGCGTCTTTTATTTTGATTTTTTTTGTTAAAAAAATTCCTATCTAAATTAAAATTAGGATCCTTCTATAATAAGACTTCTTATCAATATTACACATTTTTAATAGTTGAATTTAATTAAAATCACATTAAAATAAATAGCATGAGAAACAAACGTTTCTAGCTTTCAACTGTACTAAATGGAAATTCTAAAGATTGAAGTTGCTATCACCATCCATATCAACTTTTTAATATCTTGTGGAACTAAACAAAAAGCTGAAGTAACCCATTTCTACAAACATAATGGTAACAAGCAACAAGACAAAAAGAAAAAGGCCTCCCATTTCTTCTCTACATTTTTGTCGATTTTTTTTTTCTACACGTCTTTTATTTTGACTCTTTTTGTTAAAAAAAAAAAAGAAAAGGAAAGTCCAATCTAAATTAAAATTTGTGTCCTTTTATGATAGACTCTCTTACGAATAATGTACTTTTTTAACTGTTTAATATGATAAAAATCACATTAAAATACAAAATATGTAGAACCGATTGATAAAAAAAGACCTCTAGGTAGTAATTTTTCTAGATCGTACCATAGAGATCTCCTTAAAATTAATCAAATAACTTACCCTACCCTGGAGATGTCTCATCCATCAAATCTACTGGCTATCTTGCAATTTCTTTGCAGTCATATCACCAACTGCTAAATTAATTACTGAAAGACTTTTTTTTTTTTGTTTCCATGGACCACATGATTGATTGGCCTTTCATTTGCACAATACCAACTAAAACTATTGCCTTGTATTTCTGCATTTTCTTTGATCCAAAATATTTTTAGGTTCCGTTTTTTTTTTTTTTTTTTTGTTGATTTGAATTTAGAATTTGAGTTTTGTTACAGTAAAAAATTTTCAGAAACAGTTACATTAAACTTTTTTATTACAGTAAAAAACTCTCACACAACATCACATCTCAATTCAAATTAAAAACTCGAATTAAAAAACATTCAAATTAAAAACTCGAATTAAAAAACCGAACGGGCTTAACCTATCAAAGGCATCCACTTGTATCCTTGAATATTTAGCTCACTTCCTTAGTGCCGGCTTGAACAAGAAAACTGGAAGCACCAAAAACAAAGTATCAAAATCTTTTTTCCATAAAAAATTCAGTAACAACAAATAAACATGCTTTGGCATTGTATCTAACTAAAACCATGTCTTTTACTTTGTCTGTAATATATAAGTTGTGGATAAATACCCCAACATACAGCAGCTAAGAGTATATTTCATCACTGCTCAGCTCAATTTCCTCGCTTTTTTTTAAGAGCAAAAAATGGCATGGTTTTGGGCAATAGCTGTACTATTGATTACAGTTTTTTATGTCCTGCAAGGAAAGCTATGGAAAAGCAAGGAAAATACGAAGAAACTACCTCCTGGCCCGAAGGGCTTCCCTCTCTTTGGCAGCCTGCACTTGTTAGGGAAATTCCCACATCATGATTTGCAGAAGCTAGCCAAACAATATGGTCCAATCATGCATATGAGACTAGGCCTTATTCCCACCGTTATTGTTTCATCCCCCGAAGCTGCGGAGCTGTTTCTCAAGACGCACGACCTTGTGTTTGCGACCAGACCGCCTCATGAAGCTGCAAAGCACATATCTTGGGAGCAAAGGAACTTGTCGTTTGCGCCTTATGGTTCCTACTGGCGTGACATACGCAAGATGTGCACTCTAGAACTGCTTAGCAGTCACAAAATCAGCACTTTCAGTGAGATGAGGAAGGAGGAAATTGGGCTTTCGATTAAGTCCATTCGGGAGGCTGCTCTTGATCATGTTGCTGTTGATCTTAGTGCCAGGATTACGTGCTTGAACGCTGATATGACTTGTCGGATGGTGTTCGGAAAGAAGTATTCTGATGAGGAATTTGACGAGAGGGGTTTCAAGGCCGTTGTCCAAGAGGGAATGCACTTGGCTGCAACTCCTAACTTGGGAGATTACATCCCTTTTATCGCTCCACTTGACCTGCAGGGCTTCACTAAGCGCATGAAGAAAGTTCGCAGGGTGTTCGATGAGTTTTTTGAGAAGATCATCGATGAGCATATCCAATCCAAGGATGATGCTGGTAAGACCAAGGACTTTGTTGATGTCATGTTGAGCTTCATGGGGTCTAAAGAGTCTGAATACCGCATTGAACGGACTAATATCAAAGCTATAATTCTGGTACGAGCTATTACATCCAAATTTGTTTTATACTTGATAATCCGTCAGACCATCACATATCATATAAGATGTCTACATAGATGTTGAACTATGGCTTCTAAATACGATAACAAGCCACCTAAGCATGCCAGTAGCTAGGAAGAACCTATTGGTTTCTCATCACTTTTCCGTTCAGTTTGAATCCCTCTTTATGGACTGTTTTTTGGTAGTTAGGTGCATATATATTTGTGTTGAGAAAATCAGAGCGGAAATTTACTGATTAGAATTAACTGAGAGAATCAGCTTTCTTAATTAAGTTTAGAGAAAGCCGGAAAGAGAGAGTTGTAGGCTTTTGGATTAATTTCTCTCACATTTCTTGTTTTCTTTGCATTCATTGAAATGGTATATGAGATTCTTGTTCAAATATGGTTAGCATTGTCAGTTGAAGTTCCTCTAGTTTCACCACTATGATTTTTTTCTTTGCTGCAGGACATGGTTGCAGGCTCAATGGACACTTCATCAACAGCAACAGAATGGGCAATCTCAGAACTCATTAAGAACCCAAGGGTACTAAAGAAAGTCCAAAAAGAGCTAGAAACCGTGGTGGGCATGGATAGAACGGTGGAAGAATCGGACCTAGAAAGGTTAGAGTACTTAGACATGGTAGTAAAGGAAACTCTGAGGCTGCATCCAGTGGCACCATTATTGATCCCTCATGCAGCCATGGAAGACTGCATAGTCAACGGCTTTCACATACCAAACAAGTCGAGAGTCATGATAAACGTATATGCGATCGGGAGAGACCCCAACTCTTGGACTGATCCAGAGAAGTTTTTCCCCGAAAGGTTTGTGGGGAGTAGTGTAGATCTTAGGGGAAGAGACTTTCAGCTTATCCCATTTGGCTCTGGAAGAAGAGGTTGTCCTGGAATGCAACTAGGCCTGACCGTGGTCAGGCTGCTTGTGGCGCAACTCGTACACTGCTTTGATTGGGAACTCCCAAATGGTATGCTTCCCGCTGAACTGGACATGGAAGAAGAGTTTGGTTTGACAACTCCGAGGGCCAACCATCTTATGGCCATTCCCACTTGTCGCCTTCAGAAATATTAATTCGTCGAAAAATGCAAAATATCATGAGTGAATGATGCTCACTTCTGGTTTTTTAACCAATCAAAAGGTATTGTGTTAAACTCTACGAATCTCAATGGAAGTATTGTGACACGTAGCATTACTCGTTATTATTGTTAAAGTATATAACTATTATTGGCCCACCTCCTAATAGTTCAAGCTTTTGAAATAGATTGGTAAATTAACATGGTATTAAAATGGGAGGTCCTGAGTTCAAACTTCAGTAATTGCACTCTTTATCTCCATTTAAATTGTCATCATGTGTTGAGTCTTTATATATCTCGGGCTTAAATATTCACGTGTTGGGCTTTCTAATTAATTTACCCACACGATTGTCTATTGTCCAGCCCACACGTGAAGGGGAGTGTTAAAGCATAAAACTATTGTTGACCCACCTCCTAATAGCTTAAGCTTTTGGGATGGATTGGTAAACTAACAGTTATACCATGTCCAAATTTTTATAGTTTTCTAATGATGTGTTTTTGGTTTCAGTTGTTCTCTTAGAATGTAAACTCTTACTTTTGCGGAAAAAAAAGGAAGAAGAAGAACCAACCAAAGTGAAAGAAGGAAAAGTGTAGGAATAGTTAGCTAATAACCGGATTTGAGGGTTGGCTATCTGTGTCATAGAATTGATTGTTGTCAAGAGATAAAAGCACGTCCTAGAATTCCTTGTTTAGAAACTCTATTGTTGGTTATAGAAAGCAAGCCGTTTTGATGATAACGTTCCCTACTTTTGTTCCGTATTAATATGAGAGATCTATAACTCTTATTCTTTACGTACAACGCAATCTATCAGTTTTGTCAAAATCCACCTTAAACTTTAAAATTGATAGAAATTGAAGTTCAATTGCTGATAATGTTATTAAATTGTCTGTTCGTGAGACACGAGATTTACACATGACGTGGTTTGAAAAATAATGACTTTGTATTTTATGTGCTAATTTTGTGTTTTAAATCAACATTTGTTAGCTATTAGACCTCAATTGCTAGTGATTTTAAAATTCAGGTGCAATTTTCTAAAATTGAAAGCCTCTATTATAGAAAAAATGAATAGTTTAGGGTGTATGCAATTTACTCTTATTCTCTCTCACTCTTGGTCATTTCCTTTAACAAGTAACACGTGAATATAAAGGGAGAAAGAGAAAAATAGGCCAAGACTTGAGATGAATTAAAATTAATAGGCCAATAGTTTACATAAGTTAATAAATATGTCAAATTACTGTTTTCGTCCATAACTTGTCTAGTTATGAACCGTAACTTGACAAGTTATTGTCCATAACTTGTTTGGTTATGAACCATAACTTGACAAGTTATTGTCCATAATTGTCCATAACTTGTTTGGTTATGAACCATAACTTGACAAGTTTGTCCATAATTTATCTGGTTATGAACCATAACTTGACAAATTATGGCCTATTAATTTCTATAACTAAAAATTAGCCTATATACTTTCTTAAGCTTTTCATATTGGCCTATTTTCTACTATTTTCTGAATATAAATTGGCTACTCCATTCACTTTATAAAATCCACTTTTTACAACTTAGCTGTAAGATTGGAAATTATTTTCAAACGGTTGTTGAAGCAATTTTCGCGGGAAAAAAAGTTTGATTTTTCCAACACACACTCACATATGTATTTCTAAAATAGAAATGATAGCGTCACTCTTTCTTACACTCTCTTTATCACTTTATGTATTCATTATTTGATATATAGACTCAACTAATATGATGTATTATTTAAATAAAAATGAGATAGTAAAGTTTACGCGTCAAACAATGAACACATAAAGTGACAAAGAGAGTATCAGAAAGAGTGACGCTAGTATATCCCCAACACACAGAGAGAATTTGTAACTGTTCCATATTCCTACGCGTAATTAGTGATGGAGCTAGGATTTTGATTTTAGAATGACAAATAGAGACAAAGATTTTATAAGGTAGAATAATAAAAAAAAATAAAAAAATTATAATATTCTTAATAACAAATTTTAGTTGAGTAAGCTATGTATTTTAAGCTAGAATCCAACTTGGTGGGTATAAGAACTAATTATGCTTATTTCAATATAATAGTACGTCATCTCTTTTGTAATAAAGTTTAAAATATTTTGGAAGAGGAAAATGAGTTAAACGGTTTGGAGTTAAAAGGGGGGAAAAGAGAGTACTCTATCAGGCTCTGGGGCAATGAAAAAGAAGTTGTGAAGAAAGATAAAAGAAGCTGAAAAATGAATTAGATAACAATATATATATATATTTTTTTTTTCCAGTAGAGTGGTGGCACTTGCTGCCACTATTTATCACCTAACTCCGTGTCTGCGTGTAACGTCTAGAACTGGGGTATAACAAGGCATTTGTTTTACGCAACAATAACTTGAAAAAAAATGGAATATTGGTTTAGGATATATGAAGTCTTTGTTGTTATACTATTTATTGTTAACCATATGTATGGAAATGTCTTCAATCTGGTGGCTATACCAATTCAATACATGTAATATATTTTTTTTTGTTCGTCAGTGTAATATTATTTGTATATTTACGTAACTCATTTTGTTTATGTATAACACTCAATGAAATATAATTTACAATCATGTTACATTAAACTTATTTCCATGTTATCCTAAAAAATTACATTTTCATATGAAAAAATTTACACTTACCAGACCGATAACCACCGGATTTAAGATCATGCTTATATATATTTATGATACGGATGCATTTTATTCAATCGGGACAAGAAAAAGTGCAAAGGCGGGCAGGTTGACGAGTTCGGTCGGGTGCAGGTTAGGTTTTCTCAAGGATGGGTTGGGAGGTAGTGAAACGCAAACTGCTCGTGGAAAGGCGTGTAGGTTAGGCCTAAACAAATCCAATGAGCTTTAAAAAAAAAAGAAAAATGTGTAAAAGACTGAAATTAAAAGCACCACTTAGACCTCATTCGCTTCGCGGATTTAAGTTTTCAATTCGAGCTGAGATGTGACATTTTTTGAGAGCTTTTAACTGTAGCAAAAAAAGTTAGAAGTGACATTTTCTGAGAGTTTTTAACTGTAGAAACTTAAAACTAAAAACTCGAATCGGTAAAATGAATGAGGCCTTAGTTTTTTTCTTTAAAAAAGTAAAAGTTAATTGTTTTTTCTTAACTTTTTAAAGTGACTAAAATGAATCATGAGTTATTTAATTCTTTCATATTTTACAAGACTTATGAAAAAAAGAAACATTAATAACTCATCAAAAAATACATTAGATTAAGTACGTTGTAGCTAGTTGTAGACATCCAATCTCATTAATAGTCATTGTAGCTCATCTTGAGTCATTTTTACGTGGCCAGACCTTGTTCTAGTGCCAGTTTATGGAGGACTCTTCTTCGTTTTTGTGACAGGATGTGTTTGTATTGTCTAATTATATGAGTGACACCCGTTTCTTGATTTTAGTGTTGTCTTGTATCCTAATCTTTTAGTGGCTCTTTAATAAATATATTTCATTCCCGTTAAAAAATTATCTTAATCATACTCATGTTTAATGTCCAATATTTTTTTATAGAAAAAGTAGACACATACCCTTTAAAATGTATAAATTTGAATTTTCACTCCTTACTATTGATTAATATCTTTTTTAATTAAATAATTATACTAGTTAAAAGGGTATTAATTAAGAGTAATAAGTAAGACCTAGAGTTATATGTTCTAAGGATAAGTTAAGTAATTTTCTCATTTTTTTAAACAAAAATTGGCCTCCAGGTCTGGTTGAACCTGCCTTTAGAAGTAGGGGTGTAATTCGCTCGGGTAGGCTCAAGTTGGGCCAAAAAATTGGGCCGAGCCGCACTGTGCAGGTTGAGAAAACTTTAGGCTGTAACACCCTCATAAGTCCACAAACCTGTAACCTGTCGGGTGACTTCGGGTAGGCTCGGGTTAGTCGGGTTGACAGGCTTGGGCCCTGAATATTGGGATTGTGTCCAAATGTTATTGAAGCAATTTTCTTCCTAAATTCACATGTTATCACGCGAATCTTTTACTAAATTCACATGCTATCTACATCCGCAGGAAAAGTTTTAATGTATGACTTCATACCTCTTTTAACAGTCCAAAAGCATAAAGTCCATAAACAGTCCATAAGCATTAACATAACATCAAACATACTTCTTAACAGTCAATAAAATTCAGAAATAAAATTGACAATGCGTCAAATAAACAGTCCATATAGTCTAGCAAAATAAGAAATTTAGTCCACTCCAAACAATTTAATCCAGAATAATAGCACCTCCATTCCCAGCTTGCCCCTCATGTGTTGCAACAGAATTTGACAAATCTTAAGAAGAAAACATAACAAAAAAATCATTAGAATCAGGTTTAGGACAACAAAATAAACAACAAGTAGATGAAATAAAGTTAAAAAATAACAAGTAAAACGTAAAAATATTACCCGACTCAATATCTTCATATTAATTAAACTCTTCCATGTCAATAAGGTTGATGTGCTCACGACTACGCAACTAATTTTGTGTACAAATCAATGCCTCCACCATCTTGGGGCTCAATGAACTCCTAAAGGGATCGAGGATGCAGCCTCTGGTACTAAAAGCAGATTCTGAGGCTACCGTTGAAACATGAATGACAAGAATGTCTCTTGCAACTAGTGAGAGAACCTTGTAATTGGTTGCATTATTCTTCCACCAATCTAAAACATCAAAATTTGACCGAGTTGGATCCTCTATAGGGTCAGTCAAGTATCTGTCCACATCATTTTTGTGCTCATTCACATTCTTCTCCTTCATTTTCCTAACAAAGGAGCTCCACAAACACCCTTTTCCTTCTGCGTCCGTTTTTCCCTCATTTGTACTTGTTGTTGCCGCATGCCTACCAGATTCATTAGCCACAGATTTACCTTTGTCCCCACTATAAACCTCATGCAGCCGGTACATACTATCCTTCACATTCTTTGCTAATGTTTCAGAAGTGCAAGAATCATACACTATAGAGAAACAATATGTCAAATAATCCAACACAAGGGTGAATGATAAATTTTGTGTCGGGTGGCTGATAAATTTTTCCATCTAGCACACAAATTAACCTAAAAACAGATAACATATGATTGAGACTAAGCATAGAGACTAACTTAAAATCAATTCATCTCAGTTCTCATGAAAACATAATATTTCTCAGTTTTCAGTTATCACAAAACAAACAGAAAACAAAAAACAAAAAATCTAACCTTTCTGTTTTAGCCTTGCCTTCTTCTTAATCTTTTTCGGGTATAGACTATAGACTGAAAATGCCTCTTCAGTCTTCACTCTTATTCCTCGACTGGAAACAAAAAACCAGAAACCAACATCAAATGAGAGTCAAGATTTTGGAAACAATAAACGAATACCATATTATTAAAGCTCAATATTATAAAAAATGAGTACCAACATCAAACGAGAGTTAAGATTTTTGGAAACAAAAACAAAAATCTTATTTGATTTGTATTCAATATAATCAATATGGCGTAATATAATCAATATGACACAAATACATGAAAGGAAAAAAAAACTCTTCAATCAGAAAAAAGAACAGCCCTGTAAACATTCATACGAACGCAAAAAGAAATTAGAAAACCAATTCAGAAAGAACCCTAAATCAGGCAAAAGAAAACCAATTCAGAAATCATAAAAAAGAAAACAAAAAGAAGTCCGAAAGGAAGGAAAAAAACCTCGAATTAGGCAATCAAAATTAAGAAAACCAAGTTAAGTAATCAAACAAAAAAAAGGAAAAAAAACACTTCAATAAAGAGGCACGGAGAGTTTACAGTCTCTTACCGATTGTCTTTAATGAAGATTTCAAATAATTTGTTCAAAGAAGAGGCATAGAGAAGAAGAAGAGGAACGTAGATTAAGGAATGAAAGAGTGCGAGACTGAGGGAGGCGAGATCGAGAGAGCGCGAGACTGAGACTGAGGGAGGCGAGATCGAGAGTGCGAGACTGAGGGTGAGGGTGAGGTGAGAATGCGAGACTGCGGGTGAGCGAGGTGAAATCGAAAGTGCGAGACTGAGGGGGAGGCGAGAGTGCGAGACTGATGGTGGGGCGGATGCGAGATCGAGACTGAAGGACAGAGGGAGGCGAGATTGAGATAGTGCAAAACTGAGGGTGAGGGAAGCGAGATCGAGAGTGCGAGACTGAGGGTGAGGGGGAGGCGAGAGTGCGAGACTGAGGGTGAGGGGGAGGCGAGAGTGCGAGACTGAGGGTGAGGCAGAGGCAAGATCGAGACTGAGGGACAGAGGGAGGCGAGATCAAGACCGAGGGACAAAGGGAGGCGAGATCGAGAGAGTGCGAGACTGAGGGTGAGAGAGGCGAGATCGAGAGTACGAGACTAAGGGTGAGGGGGAGGCGAGAGTGCGAGACTGAAGGTGAGGCGGAGGCGAGATCGAGATTGAGGGACAGAGGGAGGCGAGAAGTAAATTAGGAGGAGGCAATGATTTGGGAAATTAGGTTTACAAACTTAGGGGATTCAGAAACAGCCAGGTCAGGGCAAATCTGGCTAAATACTGCCCGCCCCACGGCCCAACCCGCACATTGTGGGTTGAGCCTATTTGAATATGATTTTAAAAAATATATATATATATATATATAACCCTATATTTTTGGGTCGGATCAGGTCGAGTCGGACATATTAATCAAATTCAGGCTCAATTCTTACATCCCTACCATCACGTGACAATTAAAAAAAAATAGAAATAGTAGAAAATAGGCTAATATGAAAAGCTTAAGAAAGTATATAGGCCAACTTTTAGGTATAGAAATTAATAGGCCATAACTTGTCGTCACGTGACAATTAAGAAAAACGGAAATAATAGAAAATAGGCTAATATGAAAAGCTTAAGAAAGTATATAGGCCAACTTTTAGGTATAGAAATTAATAGGCCATAACTTGTCAAGTTATGGTTTATAACCAGATAAGTTATAGACAAACTTATCAAGTTATGGTTCATAGCCAGACAAATTATGAATAAAAATCGTGAATAACTTATCAAGTTATGGTTCATAAGTAAACAAGTTATGGACGAAAATAATAATTTAACCTATTTATTAACTTATATAAATTATTAATTTATTAATTTTAATTCATCTAAAATCTTCGTCTATTTTTCTATTTATTCCTTAAAAAAAGGTACTATCAAAGTCTTTTTAACTCTTTTATATATTGTTAACCAATAAAATCATTCCTTTCAAAAGAAAACAAAAATAAGCGTAAATAAATAAATAAAGTGAAAAAGGCCAAAAAAAACAAGAAAAATAATTAAAAAAATCCTATCCCAAAAAATATCTCTATATTGATAATTTTGTTTTTTTCCCCATGATTTCGCTTCATCATTCATTCGCATGAATGTACAGGATAAGATTTTTTTTTCAACAAAACAATTCAATAATTACAACAAGTGGATCCCACGTGCGGACTTTTGTCACATCTCGGCTGCGTCAAGACAATTATTGATCGGCTGCGTCAAGACAATTCAATAATTCCAAAACATCTAAAAAAATTTCACCCATTTTAAATTTTAATTTGAATTAAAATATGATTTATATGAGAATTTTTAATTATAATAATTAAATATAATTTTTTATAAAATTTTTTAATTATAATAAAATTAAAATTAAAAATTCAAATCAATAAAATAAATAAAATTTTAATTTAATTTTTTAATTTAAATTTTAAATTTTAAATTTTTATAATTAAATTTTTTTAAAATTATCACATTTAATTTTTTTATTATAATTAAAAATACTAAAAAAAATATCAGAAAGACTTTTATATTACACTTCACTCCACCACCGCTTTACATTCCCATCATTCATCAATGATCAGTGATTTTCTCACTCTTCAACTTCTCATCTGATCTGCTAAACTCAGCATTAATCCTTTTTCTTTGTCTGTTTGTTTGTTTCCCAAGAAATCGGCCTGGAAAATGGAGGCTCAAGCTGTCAGACGCAGAATCAACACGATCTCAGCTCACTTTGCGCCCACTGATGAACTCTCCGCCACTCACGTCCTTCCCATGGTAAAATCTTGCTTTCTTTGTTTGGTTTCTGAGAAAATCGGAGCAGAAATGAGAAAAAATTGTTTTAACTGTGCCTTCTCTCTCTAATCATGAATCTAAAAAGGTCCAGATCATGCCATGTTACCTTACTCTAAATATATATATATATACATGTATTACTGTTATTTTGGTCATTGTCATTCTTATTATCATTCTGGTCTAGAGGATCATATGATTATTCTCTCTCTTTTGAAAGGCGAATCTTTTAGTGTTAAGGATGATTGGGCAGCATAATTATTTAATCAGTCCTTGATTTTTTTTTTCCCTAAAAAGGGAGAGAAAATTGTGGGGGTGTGTGTTGATGTTGTTGTTGTTCTTTTTTTTTTTTTTTTTTTTTGAGGATACAACAAATTGGCTAATTTAATTATCTTAACTGTTGACTTAACCTAACATGTTCCAAACGACTCAAATCTGTTCTATTATTTCTTTCCCTCTTATTATACAACGAAATTTAAAAGGAAGAACAAAGTAGCAAAAGCAGCTGATCTAGACCTTTGATTGGTAACAATTTTTTCATTAAACAAGTGAAATGAAGGGTGGAGATTTTATTTAAATGGTACTTGGATAATCTCCTGCTTTAAAAAACAAAAGGAAAAAAAAATTAAAAAGTTAAAGGGTTATCAAGAAAGGACTAGCAAAAGTAAAACAATTAGAGAACACGTTCAATCTAGGTTGTTTAAGTGTTGATTACGCGTAATAGTTTGATAATTAAAGTGGAATTTGTAAATGCTGATGCTACATTTAACTTATGAATTTTCAATAGCTCCGTATAATGTTGGCAAAATGATCAAGAGGACTCTGTCTAGTCTTCATGTCATTATGCCAAAGTTCAATTCTGTCTAGTCTTCATGTCGTTATGCCAAAGTTCAATACTTTCATCCATTGGATGCTGTCTTTCCTCGTGTTTTCTAGTTCATTGATCATCACTATCAAAGTAGTTTCTAAACAGCTATCGAGAAATGGTGTACAGAATAGTTGTCATGCGTGATCTGGTCGGGAATCAAGTCCTCGAAATATATTAGCTTAGTTGTCCTATAGGACTTTATGACATTTAATCTGAACTCTTAAATGTTAAACGAATGTTACCACAGTCTAAGATCATCTCCAATGCAAATGCTAATGCCAATTGTATATTTATCATAAAAAAGTATGATATTGTATGTTATTTTCATTTTTTCTCAAATGCATAACACTATTTGAAATGCTAAATCTACTTTTTCCTATAACTATTAAGCTTTGAAAGGTGTAAAAGTAAAATTTTATTTTTAAAATAATTAGAAAATGCAAAAGTTGCATTGATTACATGGAAAAAGTAAACATTTCAACCAATAGTAATCAAATGTTAAATTTCCCTTATGCTATACTTGGTGGGAAATTTGCCACAAAGTATAGCATATGTGAAATTTGGCACAACAAATAGCATTGTGTTGGAGAGTGTTTAGTGCACTCAAAAGTTAAATTTGTAATTGGTACATTAATTATAGCATTGCATTGGAGATGCTCTAACAAAATACGTCGTGTCAATTTTCCCAAATTTTCCTCATAATCTAATTGCTTATAAAATTTTTTGGGTCTCAGAACTGCAGCAGCACTTTAAACTCTGTGATCCGAAGGTATGATAACAAAATGTATTTTGCACGGCAAGGATCTGCTTTTCAAGCTTCTTTCATGAGGCAAGGGTCAAATGAAGATGTGCTTGAGACTGGAAACACAGTAAGTCTTCTCTAAATACGGGCTCAGTCATATAGTACTTACTAAGAACCAAACTGGAATTGTAGGATACTAATCATCACTCAATTTCCTCATTGTCTAATCATTTATATGCTATTTTTTGTTATCCTAATTTCAAGTTGCACTTGCTTTACCAATGCAATTGCTTTATTGTCGCAGGATTCCTACAACACTTTAAACTCTATGACAACTGGAAGGCGTGACAGCAAAATGTATTTTGCACGCCAAGGCTCTAGTCACCAAGCTTGTTTCATGAGGCAGGCAGGCACTGAAGAGGTGGTTGTGATTTTTTTTTTTTTTTCTCCACTCAATTATCCTTTGTTCAATTAAGCTTCATGGACTGATTTTTTTGGTGTAAATTTTTTGGCCAGGTTTTACCAGATCAGTCGGGCACGCCTCTCAAATACTGTAGTTGTGGAAATGAGTTTTCCTATTTTGTTTCTCAAGAAGAACCACTGTTTTCTAGACCTTCAAGTACAGGGAAAAACTTCTCCACAGCAGGAGTAATCCAACCCGCCTTTCAAAGTTATGCATTATCTGCAGCTGACCCTCCTAAGTTTGCCATGCCAAGCGGTAGAATCGGTCAACAGAAAGAGACATACACCAAGGAGGAAACGTACTCTTCTACATCTAATGGTGGGTTGTGTTGTTGTTATATGCTAATGTTCTAAATGTGAAATTCAAAATCCGCATGTTTTTCTTGTTTTTGCCAGAAGTTAAAAACACTTGCTACACTCGTTGGCATCTTCTAAGACCTCGAAAATTAAATGTTTCTAGCTTATGAAGTTTTAGCACAAAAGAACAGTTTCAATCTCTCTCCCTCTCTGGCTTCTTTTATATCTATCTGTTTACTTGACAGGTTACTAGTATGAAAAATGGTTGTTTGCTTTCAAGAAAGGCTCGCGCAGGAATATTATTACTTGTTTAAAATGGACTAAACCTCTGACTTCTTTTTATTATGGACTTTAAGTGGAGAAATCTAACTTATAATTTTTTTTTTCATGCAGTAATTGAGTGGTCCCCAAAATTGGATATTGCAGAATCGGGTCGCACCTATGTCATCACCGTTGAGATTCCAGGTGTCAGTGTCAAAGACATTAGAGTGGAAGTTGATGACAAGAAGTAAAATATATTTTAACGGCTTATAACGTGATTAAGTTTCATGATCTTCTAGTGAACTCCATATTCAACCCTTACACCTATCCCATTCCTGTCACCCCGTTCCTGCTCTGAATCCTCCATTTAATTGATTCACATACTTAAATTATCTGTAAACCATTAGAAAGTTTGAGAGTATTTGTAATTAACATGGTGAGGCTACCATTTCTGTGGCAGGTTAACCGTAGCTGGTAAGCGCTCTACCCAGTATTTGAAGGTGGCAGGTTGCACAAATGACTCCATCTCTGCATATCTCAGAAGAGAGATTGTGCAAGGGCCATATGAGGTTGTGTGGCCACTTCCAGCTAATGTGAACAAGGACTCTGTCTCAGCCGAGTTTCTGTGAGTGTCATAACCTCCCCTAGCTACATTCCTCTTAATTTTATGCTAATTTTTATGGAAATATTTTCCCCCAACTTTTGACACTGCATAATTTCCCTGAAGTTTTTTTGTCTTGGTATACAATGAAATGAAAGGGAAATTGTATTGTGCTACCTGGCTCTTATTCTCCGATATCATGTTTGAAATGCTTCATCTAAAAAGGACTAAGCTATTCGAAACTCGGAAGCATGTAACTTTGGTTTCTATCTTCCTAGAAAACCATCATTTAATACTGATTTTGATGGTGTTAATGTTATTTTTGCAGGGATGGTTTTCTACGAGTTGTTATTCCTAAACTTTGAGAACCTTTGGTGGATGAAGCAAATATTAATTACATAAAGGCTCATAGCTGAGGCAACGTTCCAGCACCGTGAACAAATGTCTAGTGGCTTGCAGTATAAAATATGATAAGAGATGTATCACAGTTATATATAACCTCGGATAAAGTATACATGGTCAATCTTGCTTTATTATGTACTTGAGTTATGAATCCATGTGTTGCTATGAGTTTACTCTATAAGTACTGTTATATATATATATATACACATATATTATGAGTACTGTTATATATTTGAATCATATGTAACATGATCCTTTGTTCTTAAAAACGGAGTTAGAAATAAGAAAGGTTAGTATGGTTATCTAGTAAGTCTGAACATACCTTTTTTTTTTTTTTTTTTTTTTTTTTTTTTACTTTTAAATAAGAAAGGTTCGAAATGAGCGCTTTTAAGAAGTGATTTTGCTATTCAATTTATTTAGCAGAGGTCACAAACAAGTGTTAAAAAAAAAAAAAAAAAAAAAAAAAAAAAAAAAAAAAAAGGGAAACCCCAAAGGGAAAATTTTACCCCTTTTTTTTTTTTTTTTTTTTTTTTTTTTTTTTTTTTTTTTTTCAATAGCGTTTTTACTGCAGCATTTACAATTGATATGATGTTTGTGTTTGAGATGTCGTTTTTATTTGATGATATCTTTCCATCGGATTCCAGTTAATCTGTTAATGTCATTTCTAAGGCTCCTGCCATCTTATTTGATGTCGTTTATATATATATTTTTTCTGTACTTTCCTATTTGATGTCATTTATCTTAGTTTGTACAGCTTTCTAGTTAATGTTGTTTTAATTTCTGAGGATATGGCCTGGCATTTTTAGTTTATGTTGTCGTTTTTGTTTTAATGTCGTTTTGATTTCTGAGGATATGGCTTGGCATTTTTAGTTTATGTTGTCGTTTTTGTTTTAATGTCGTTTCTTATCTGATGTCGCTTGTCGTATAAAGGTCATTTTCTTTTTTTAGTTGATTATTGTCGTTTTCTCCGTTGTTATCGTTTTCTGGGTGTTGCTTGTTGTTGGTGGTGTTGCCGCTTTTTCCCTCGACGCTGTTTGTAAGTTTATCCCAACCTAGGGCCAGACCTCAAGAGAGATCTCAGCCTGAGATCCATAATTTGATTCAATTAGCATGAGTAACTCTTGAGATTCCAAACTTTCCTTTTTGTTTTGCACATGAATGAATCTAAAAGGGAAAAAGTGTCTCCATAATTTTCGCTTAATAACATGAATATTATTCTACCCTAGAAAAAAGAAAAAAAAAACATTTTTATGTTCTTCAATCTCAAAACGATTTCGAAATTCTCTCTTGCGAATAAATTCATTTTTGACCAAATTCAAAAATATTTTTGAAATGACACAAATTAAGTTTGTATGATGTCTAAACACTAACAAAGATTCTTTTAAGCGTACTTCAAAACTTGTTGTCGTTTCTCTTTTCTAAGAAGTATGTCTAAACACTAAAAACATTTTAATGTTCTTCAATCTCGAAATGATTGCCAAACGCACCCATCTAAGACCACTCATCATTAATGGAAAATTGTTCAGTTTTTCATCTTCTTCTTTCTGAATGAAACTTACGACCATTCCATCAAAGAGGGAATCCCCCACAACAAACATATGAACTCAACTACCCGCTCTAATACCATCAACAAAATGCATTGTTTCATCTTTGACCTAAAGGGAGTGTTTAGTTGTTACTTATTACACTAAACTAGTTTAACATAGTTTACCAAAACGGCGGTGTTTCAATTGGCAGTGAAAATTTTGTAATTTCACATCTTGTTTTTCAGAATTTGGTGACCGAGAGAATTTTAAAACTATTTTGAAATTCAAATGGTATTCATTTGTTTTAAAACTTGGAGTGGGGGACTTGAACCCTATACTTTACGGTGGAGTCAATGTAAAATTGTGAGACGTTTGGTTCACGGATTAAAATCATTTTCGATTTACGTGTATTTTTTTTGAGAGAAAATACTGTAGTGAACCATGAACCATGATTCAAATCATGGTTTGAATCCTCCAACCAAACGTCGCTTCAGATTATGCCCGCAACCACAAGGTATTAAAAACACTCAAACTAAATCGTTCACTATATACCTACGTGTTATATATATTGTCATAATTAAGTAGATCATATTTTACACTTCACCTTTTTGGAAATTAAAAACACTTGAACTTAATCGTTGACTATGTATCCCTGCGGACCTTTCATCAATCTTAAGGTTAAAACTAGTATAATTTGTCATATATTACTAGCTACTTGAACTGAATTGTATTTGATTGTCGGACCTTTCATCAATCTTAAGGTTAAAACTAATTTATTTTACATATATTGTGTCTTAGTTTCCATCATTTCTACAATTTGCAAGATTGGCCAACTGACTTCTTTATCTTAAATGACAGATTCGGGTTAAAGAAATCTGCTAGTTAGCTCCTTAAAAAAGTTGGTTATTAGCAATACGTTAAAGAGATTACTTAAGAAAACCACCGTTACTTCTATCTGAAAAGACAATAAAGTTTCTAACTTTTAGAGCCTTGCAAAAGCAATTGGAGCTTTGGCTTTTCTTCTTTTGTTAGGCTCTAAAAAGTTATGCTTATCTCTTTCTATTTGGCCTTAACTTAAACTTATCTTCTTCTACTACTTAAAAGCATAAGTACAAGCTATCCCAAATAGACCCTAACTATTGAAATTATTGATCTAAGACACTACTAAACGTTTCCAAATATAATGTTTTAATTATTGAAATTACTCTCTCTCTCTCTCTCACTATCTCAAATACAAATGGCAGCCATCTCTCTGCAACAATGCCAAGGTATGCACATTAATTTTCCCCGAATTTTAGAATTATTTTTACTTTCTCTTATAAATTTTAAAAACTCCCATTTTACCTCTTTAAGTTTTAAATTAGTCTTTTTTAACCTTTTATTTTTATTTTTATAAAAAACAGACGAAAAAAGGAGAGTGTTATGGTCACTTGACAAGCGAAAAAATTACATGATCACATTTAATCTCTTTTTTTTTTTGTTTATTTTTAGCTGAATTTTTTTTTTTAAAAAAAGGATTAAGTGGTACTGCGTCAAAGTTTAAAAAGTATAGTAGGAGTTTTTAAAATTCAAAAGTGAACTGTGAATGATCTTAAAGTTCAAAAGCTAAAATTAAATTACCCCTAATATAGATAGTTGTACATAATAAAAATTTGTCGATTTTTAGTAACCATCATTGTATATATATGAATTGAATTTCATAATATTACAATATGATTTGACTATGATATCATTTTTTATTTTGAAAAATAATGCTTTACATATTTGTTAGATTTATTCATGCATACATATCTAAACTTTATATTTAAAAAAAAAAGACCTCTAGACTTGGAGAGACAGAAGATTTAAAAAAAAAAAAAAAAACTCTAAACTTGGAGAGACAAAAGATAAAAAAAAATTAAATATATTTTTTTCACTAGAGGCTGAGGAACGTGCATGAAGCATTAGTATCTAATCTAAACATACATGAAAGAGTTGAATATATTGTTTTTTCTTTAGTCATGTGTCAATTCTTCTCCTTTTTTTTTATTTCATGTTTTACTTTTATTTTTTTACTAATTGTTTCACTTTTAGTTTCTTAAAACTTTATATTTTTTACTTTTCCTCTTTTTTTAAACTTTTTTTTTAAATTTTTTCTTCTTTTCTTTTACCTACCATCTTTTTTTCCCCTAATATTTTTTTTTGACACTTTATTTCTTTCGTTCTTTCTTTCTTTCTTTCACAATATCCTTATTCTAATCTAAATCTATCTAAACGTAACAGATTTTTTCCTCTGTTTCCTTCTTTAACTTTTTTTAAAAATTTTTCTTCCTTTTTTGTCTGCCAATTGTCTTTTTTTTTTTTTCCTTTCCCTAATATTCTTTTATAGTTCATGTTTTTTTTACAATATCCTTCTTTGAAATACTTCTTTTTCTCACTTTCTTTTAATTAAAATCATTCTTTTCAAATATTTTCGTACTTAAGTTTTTTTAGATCAAAAACTCATATATAACTTTAATTCTTTTTTTATATGATTTTTTAAAGTATATATTTTTTCTCTTGTTCTAATTAATAGACTTAGTTTTTAAAGAAGTGCGTGTTTTGAACTTACAAAGTTATGTAAGTGACTCAACTAATATATAAAAAAGGAGACAATATGGGCGTTTGGAACTCATTGTAAAATGATTTTGTGTTTTGTATGAAAATAAAAATAAAAACGTTTTCAATCTCAGACATAAATCATTTTTAAAAATATGTTTGGTAGTTTTATTAAGAGATTATTTTCAGTATAAAAAACCCATTAATGTGTGTGTGTCTCTCTCTCTGCTCGATAGAAGAGAAAACGAAAACAAAAAAATGAAAAACGACTAAAAGTCGTTTTTCATTTCTCTCTCATTTTACACTAATTAAAAAATTATTTTCATTTCTGTTTTTGTCTTTATTGCGCCAAACGCCGTTTTGAAAACGTTTTCATTTTTCTTTCTTGAAAAACGTAAAAAAACAAAAACGAGATTAATTCCAAACACGACCTATATATTATATATTTTCCTTTTCGCTTATATTGTTAATGAGCAGTAATTAAAATAGGTTCGTGATGGGTTTTGTTAAAACTTATCTCATCTCATGATTAGTTGCAAAGTGATCAGTTAGTGTCTGCAGAGAAAGATTTGGTTGTTTTGTTAAACAAGGACAAACACCAATATTGCGTATACCATAATCTGGTGGAACATGATAAATTTGGGTTCACACATCCGACATTGACCTTTATAAGCTTAATTTTTTTCTTTTGGCATAAGAAGCAACATTATTGCTGTTATTAGTTGCTTTCATCTGATTTTGCCCTTTATTATATATTGATATTAATATAATTGAATAATTATGGATAACTATAGATAATGTATTAAGTACCTAATTGTCATGATTCACCAAAAAAAAGTACATTGGGAGGATAAAAAAAATAAACATTGATAATTTTTTACTTTCAGTCGTCAGATTTATATAAAAATTTATTTATTTTGTATACTTTTTAAATCTAATATGATTTTAAATGTATCTAACAGTTAAAAATTAACCTACTAATAGAGGTTCAAACAAAAAAAGTTCTACACCTATTATGGATCATAAAAGGGGCATCTTTTGTTGTAGTACTATTCATCGAACATGATAATTTCGTTAACAATATTTGTAACAAAGTTTTGTTGATTATATCTATATTTAGGTTC